TCTCTCCCAGGACCTAGCACAATACCCAGCTGTTGTTGACTGAGCAATCAGTAATTATGAGTTATCAGTGAATGTAGAACTGAGTTCAAGGAGCCATGTCTCAGTGCCTTTATCGCACTACTCTCAGAGCCTTGCTATTGTGGAGAAAAAGAAAAAAAACTAAAAAGAAAAGAAAATCAAGTACTCTAGATTGGAGAGCAGAGCTGAACCTGTGGCCAGCCAAGCAATTATTGCTTTCATGTTAAACTGACTTTGCTATAAGCCCTAAGCAGTGTCGTATTTAAGTAGAAAAATTGTGTAACAAATTAAATACACACAAAAAAGGGTAGCTAAGACTTTGCTTCACTATTTTTCCTCTCCTCTGGGGAATTTACCTGATTTTGGAACTCCTTACTTAATCATACTGCACTGGTTTAACCTGCAACTAAGTGTGACCACATAGCACTGGAATTTAACATTGTTCTGTGTAAGCAAAACATTTACTAAAAAATTATCAGCATAAGCAAGATTCAGGGGACGTACTTTAAGAGGATATTCTTGCAAAACACTTCAGAAGCATCTACTTCTTAGCACCCACATTGGCATGAATGCATATGAAGAAATTCCCAATTGTTTTGAAAACTTGGAATTTAGAAACTTATATCCTGATCATCTTGAGTAAGTGCAACATAATTTACTCTAAGGTAAATATTTGAGTAAAAGATTTAAAAAATGAAAGCATTTGCAACTATAAAACTCCATGTCAAAACTGTTAATTTAAAAGAGAAGCACATGTTTTCAAAACAATCTCGAAGATAAAAAAACCCAGTTACAGTGGGACAAGAGGAAAAGATGGATACATTTGACTATAAAATTTGAAACTCCTACAATCTTAAAATGTTTTAAAGCCAAATGGACAGCTTAGAAAAAAATATTTCTGAGATGTTAAAAGAGATAATTAATTTACTTATTTTTTTGGGGGGGGGTATCAGGAATTAAATTCAGAGGCACTTGACCACTAAGCCACATCTCCAGCCCTATTTTGTATTTTATTTAGAGACAGGGTCTCACTGAGTTGCTTAGCGCCTCGCTGTTGCTGAGGCTAGCTTTGAATTTGTGATCCTTCTGCCTCAGTGTCCCCAGCCACTGGGATTACAGGTGTGCACCACTGCATCCAGCTTACTTAATATTTTTAAGTGCACTTGCAAATCGAAAAGGCCAATGACTCATAACAATAGGAAAAATATGAGAATAGGCAGATTTCTGAAAAAAAACATGGATACTCATATACAGCTTTGCTGATTATTAAAGACACATATGATAAATCAATAATTCAGTCTTATTCATTGTCAAATCCTAGAGAGTTGATGTCATAGTGTTGGCAAGGTGGTGGATAGAAAGTTGTATTACACATTTTTTACATCCTTGGAATGCTACTGACAATACCTGTTACACTATACAATTTGCATATACTTTCGCCAGCAGATTTACTTCTATAAATTTTAGTCCACAAAAATGCACAAGAGCTCATCAAGTATATCTGAAGTAGTATTGATGGTAATAGTGGTAATGAAATCATCTTTCAAATCTCATTGATAAAACTGTTTTATGCTACACTATATAATAGAAAACAAAGGAGCCGTTTAAAATATTTGTAAGGGATGGTATGAATGGACAGAGACAATAGGTTTAGAAAGATCTTAGCAGTCTATACTCCTATGAAAATGATAGCATATTGCTTTTGCTGTCAAAAAATACCCATATGCAGAGATAATCTCTTAAAGGATATGCAAGAGTTTGTTAGCAGTGGTGGCTTTGTGGGGAGGAACTGAACATTTGGATAGGAAAGAAGCCTAATTTTCGTTGAATAATTGTACTTTTTAAAAAATGATTTGCAATTTTTAGTTTTCAGTAGGCCAGACATTACACTTCCGGTTTAGTGTCTCATCTTCAAAGCCACATGTGAGTTAGGTTTAATTAGCTTCATTTTATAGATGGGACATTGTGATTTGGAAAGACTGAGCAACTCATCTAGGGTCACACAGCTGCTGTCCTTGTTCCGTCCTCAATAGAAAGATTTACATAAACAGCAAGATGTACTGTTCTCAACAGACTCCCATATGTTTGTGATTTGGTCCTTACTAAAGCTGGAATCATTTTTTTAGGAAAATAAATAAAATGTTTTTCAGATATTTTCACCTCAAAAATAAGAAGAAATAGAATTTCTGCTTTACCTTCTAGAATGTTCTAAATTCCAGGGGTCGTGGTGAAATTCCAAACTGTAAAATGGGTTTTCTATTTTCTTTCCTTCAAAACTGTTGATTGCATAGAATGTTGAGATTAGGAGGTGATAACAAAAATAGTAGAAAGAAAATAACAGCATCAAACCTGAGTGTCAGAATCAACATTCTTATGTTTAGGGAAAGTCTTGGAAAATCAGATTTGACTCATGTAAATTCTAAAAGGAGAGAGGTAGAAGTTCTATGTGGCTTCCTCAGATTCTACTGCTGGGATGAGTAGACACACCCTAAKAATAACACAAAGACAACCATGAAAATAGTGCATAAGAGCTCAGGTCCAGGACCAGAAAGTTTTCCCCCTTAGGCACATCCTGTATACTTATAATACTATTGGATTTCTGTTGACAAAATATCCATAATTCTGAATTCCTCCCTCCCTCCCTCCCTCCCCCCGCCTTTCTTATTTTGTCAGAATTTATGGGGTTTGGTTCCATTTTYAAATTAGCTTCCTCCTTACTAGTGATTCTGTTGTTGGGCATTTAAGAAAGGATTCAATAAAAGCCTCTCCTGTCACTTCTCTCCTGCCACTGGCTCTCTTCCCAGGTTGTGTTGTTATAAGTGGAAGCAACATTAGGTAGTATGGTTTGGACCAGAGTCTGCTCTTTCTTTGACCGACTAGACAAAAAGAAATAAATGAGATGCCTCCTCTCTAAATCAGGCCTGTCACTTTTCCAAGACCTGAAAAAGTGGGAGGATACATTAATTTAGGCAGTTTTGCTAGTGCAAATTTACTAGGAACCTAATATGTAATCCTTTATTATTTCCATTAAAATATAAAATGCTTTATAAATAGACATGATTCATGGAATGGATTAATATCACAATGATATTAGATATAATGCCTGGATATTCAAAGTATCATTACAGCATTGGAGTCTAGGCTGCTAGTTGAAAAATCACACTGAGATATTGGATTTACTCAAGATAAAACTTTGGACTCTTAGATAAATTCTGATCAGTTTTTTTTTTTTCAGCACTACTATGGTAAATAACTCAGACTCTTACGTTCTGTACTCTTACGTGTACAGAAAATATTGCTTTTCTTATTTTAGTATGAAACTCCAGAGAAACTRTATAAAAGTATTGTATAAATTATTTTGATCCCAACTCAAGTTCAAAAAAATCACGCATCTATACACATACATAAAACTAAAACAAAAGTTTTCCATGTAAGAGTGCTCTTACCTCATTTGAGGCATTWCTGGTACTTTCTAGTCTGTTCTATTTCATTTAAAAGGTTACTGTTTCTTAGGACTGCTGATTTTATTTCTAACAGCTTAGAAGACACGGCTTTAGGGGACCCAGATGCTCACACGGCTCATATTTACAAGAAGCCTTTGTTTGAGGGCTCTTGTGTGTCCTTTTAGCTTGATTTGATTGATTTTCTGGGAACTCACCTAGTGTGAGTTATTGTGCTGGACTCTGGGAACTGCAGAGTTTGCCTCTCCTTACATGAGTTGGGAGTGTTCTGAGGGGCAGGAGATCCAGGGGGAGCAAAAAGACTATCTTTTATCTCAAGTCATATGGTTATTTTGACTCCAAATCCAGTAAGATATATAAAATACAGACTCCCTGTGTGATTGAGTAGGGTTTTATTTGGAAGTTCAGAAGAGGAGGCAATGAAGTCATTTATAAAAATAAAAATTTTTGACCTTCAGAAAACTCAGCAAGATCTCCAGCTGACCCCTTACCACCTCTTTGCTCTTCAGAAGGGGATAATCTAATTATTCTTGAAAAAAAAAAAGGGACAAAGCAGGTCTTTCAAAGAGATGAGTAGCCTCTTGTAGAGTTTCACTATATTTTCTGAAAATACTCTTAAAATTGCTCATATGAATTTACCCATCTATATTTCAGAACCAGTAAACAAGGTCAAATATTTTTCAAGGTCATCAGGGCAAGAAAGGAAAGATTGTCACCAGTCAGGGAGAAACTATAGAGTTTTTTCTTCCCATCACCAAGCATTCATGAGCATTCACCTCAGAGACCTTGCAGCCTGCACACTAAACCTCTGCTGCTTCCTACTGCTAGGAGCCAAAGATTTAAACTGGCACATGTGGATGGTCATCTCAGTTTCAGAGCACTTTTGAATGGACTTCTGTACACATAAACATCCTTATCTGTTAGCTCTCTATGCGTTGGAGATGAGCTTATTCTGCAGACTTCTGGGCATAGACGTTTCCTATTTGGGAAACTGAAATCATTTAGATAAAAGGAGTGTTTGTAGGGACAGAGTAGACAAGGAGAATATTTTTAAAGTGCTGGTCCTATGTAGAGACACCGTCCTTTAGCACCAGGTCTCTTTTCATGATCATTGTGTTCAGAGGTATTTCTCCTGACCTTGCTGCCTGTGCCCAACCCCCCTGATCTATGTGCTTTGAGCCCTACAACCTCTATTTTTCTTAACATTCTGTATGAGTTTTAATTTTCCATTTATTTTATGACTATTTAATCCATAAGTCTATCTCTATAGATCCCCTACTGTATTTACTTTAGGCTTCATAAAGCATATATTTTATTTTTACTCGATTATTAATATCTCCCAGGCACTGAGCACTGTGCCCAATAAGTCTTTATTGGATGAATAAATTGGCATTTAAGGTAATTGGCATGTGGGTTTAAACATGGTATTTCAGCTTAGACCAATTTTTGTTTATTACTGATTAGCTACTAAAGAGCAATTGATAATCACTCATAATGTTCTTCTTTTTTGTTGTTTTGCAGTCAACTTTGACCACTTTGAAATTTTGCGAGCCATTGGGAAAGGCAGTTTTGGGAAGGTGAGAACCAAATTGATTAACCACCAGCAGAGCAGCATAGCTTAAGAAACAGAGGGTTTGAGAACATTCAGATTATTGAGTTATTGGGATCATTTGGAAAAGCAATTCAGAGAAGTTTTATAATTGATTTTTTTATGAAATTATCACCATAATTTAAAAAAAGTATGTGAAATGCAGCTACATGACAACTATATCCTGTTTTTAGAATTGTCTCATTTAAGCCAAATCTGTTTACTTTCTCCAGAGTTCTCTACTCTTTGCTCTCTATTCTAATGGATATTAAGATTGTGGAATGATTTTCAAATTGTTCCAGCTGTATCTCCAGTAGTAGTTATCTTGTCAGTGTGGAGTTAATTCTTTCCGGTAGAAAAGAAGCACCTGATATCAATTTTCTTTTTCCCAGATGTACCATGCTTTTATTTTCAAAAATCTACCATAAAAAATATACAGTCTAAATTTTGTAAGAACTTTCCAGTTTCAAACTCCGATTATTAGTTTCTCAGTGGAGACATATTTTAAGAATAATATTTCATACTTCAGATTAAATTTGCATTTCGCTTTATCAGGTACTATATGGGCCTCTAAGGAAATTTCACAAACATGGACATTGTATTTGATGTTTCTAGTGCTTTGAGTCCTTTTCTTTACATCTCCTATGGGGGTAAACAGACACTGTTTGCACAGTACTGTTCAACTTGACAATGTAGCCATGCCCATTGCAGCCTCTTAAAGCAGGAATAAGGATGTTGTTACTAGACAATTCCTGATATATGGAGGCAGATTTAAATGCTGTCCAAATAATTCCAGAAGCAAAGCTAGGCCAACTTATTTGAGAAAGCAGTGATTCAAGAATTTATCTGATGCAGGGGGGAGAAAAGGAAATTTTTGCTCTGAAATCAGAGCTAAGTGGGGACTTTAACATCAGAGAATTTGCAGGTGATGGGGCACCTCAGCCATGCTAAGGAACAGGTCCTGTTTTGTCCCTCATAGCCACATTCCATTGTGTCCTTAGTCACTTGCTCACTTGGGTTTGCATCCTTAGGTCTGCATCGTGCAGAAGAATGATACCAAGAAGATGTATGCTATGAAGTACATGAATAAACAAAAGTGTGTGGAGCGCAATGAAGTGAGGAACGTCTTCAAGGAGCTACAGATCATGCAGGGCCTGGAGCACCCTTTCCTGGTAAACTTGTGGTAAGTGATTTGACAGAGCCTGGGAAAAGAGACACTCCAATTTCATCCTTAAATACGATTACATAAACACATCTCATTGGCAGGTGTGTACTTGCAAAATGCTCATTTAGATCTTTTCTTTTTTTTATTGATTTAAAAAAATGACATCAGAATGCATTATAATTCTTATTACACATATATACCACAATTTTTCATATCTCTGTATATAAAGTATGTTTACACCCAATTTGTGTCTTCATACATGTACTTTGGATAATGATGTCCATCACATTCCACTATCCTTGCTAATCCCCTGCCCCCTCCTTTTCCCTCTTTTCCCTCTTACCCCTCTTTCCTATCTAGAATTCATCTAATCCTCCCACACTTTGCCTCCCTACTCCACTATTAGACAGCCTCCTATATCAGAGAAAACATTCAGCATTTGTTTTGGGGGGATTGGCTAACTTCGCTTAGCATTATCTTCTCCAACGCCATCCATTTATAGATCTTCCTTAAGGGTTTTTGATCTCCTCGATTTCTTTGGTTCTAAAGTAAAGACACCTTAGTTCAGTCATCAGAGTTCCCTTTGCCCTACTTTTTTTTTTAAAGCATTGTAACTAAATGGACTGAAAAGTAATAGTTTGATGACTTCCATTCTAATGATGGTTTTTTGCATAAAGCTATCCCTGTGGGACAGAGACTGGGTGCAAAGTGTGGCCTCTTTGGCCATAAAATTGGTTCTTTGAAACTTGTACAAAGCACTTTCTCATTAAAATAATAGGCAATTAAGCTGTTTTCTGTGTAGTGTGCTTCATAAGCAGCCACAGATATACCTGTGACTTGGAAAGGGCTGGGTGCCATTTCTTGCCCAGTGGGTTTGAACAGAGCTAGAGCTAACTTATGCTATTACCATAATTCAAGGCTTAGAAAATGGCTGGAAGCTTGCAATATCTATTACCTCCTGCTCTTTTCTTGTGCTTAGAGGTCTTTATGTTTCTCCTTCATTTTACTCTACATTGTAATGCATCCATTATGTTAAGAGCCAGTTCTTAAAGCTAATTCAGTAAGACTGTTATTTAAATATGCATACCAAGCAGTTCTTACTTACCAGTAAAGGAAGGAAAAAGTCTTTATCTAGAGAATGCTAATGGAAAAATAATTGAGATTTCACTATGTGTTTAGGGACAACCTTCTGGAGGAATCAGTGCATAAAACCTGCCTCAATCCATCTTTAATTAACACAGTTTCACTTAATATACAATTTTCTCAAAGCCTCTGTGCCACAGTTGAAAAGAAGATGGTTCTGTGTGACTTGGAAATAGATCTATTATAGTTCATGCACTACTCAGACTTGGTAAGAGTCTAATTTTGACTCAGCCTCAGTGTATTTAATCAGCATCTTAGAATGGCCTATTCAAAATGCTGCCATGTAAAAAGTTAAAATGGATACAGCTCTGTCTTCTTTAGCATTTATCAAATTGCCTCCCCCTCCCCTTCACTCTAAGAATGACAAGGTGCTGTCATTTCGTAGCTTCCCTTTGTTCCAAGTCATATTTTCCTTCTTTAAAAGTTCAACCAACCAATTTTCTKTTCTAAGGCCAAGGACACTTTGTAAGAACTTTGCCTTTTTGTGTCTGTCCCTCGTTGCTATGTGACCAAAATTGATATCATTCTATTCCCATGTTTCTAAAACATGGGGGTATAAGACTTTAAGCTGGACAAAGTTTAAAAATTCTGTTATTTTCCAATTTGATGTCATCCCAGAAAACATTCTGTTCTCCATGAATGCTGACCTGGTGAGACCATGATATACACACTTACATGTGTATGTATATAGGTACACATACACACACGTACATATATACATATGTAACATGCACATACATACATATGTGTGGTATAAATCCATATACATACATATATGTGTGTATATGTGTGTGTGAGTATGCACATGTATATTCTTTTCTTGTTCTTCTCACACCAAATCTCACAAAAGAACAATATTGGGCATCTCAACATTGGTAGAGGAAGAGAAGAGGACCCCATCTCTACCCCACAAACACATCTCATGTTTTTAGAATTGGCAACCAAGAATGGGTCATTCTGAAAAGTATAGCAGAAAACTCTTTTGCCTTTCAAGCTTTGATAAAAAAATCTTTGGCCCCCACTAAGTACAGTATAGTGGTTTTAAGTGAATCTTTCCACAACTATGGAGCATCTTGCAATGCTTATAAAAATGTTATTATGAGTAGTTTGTCATTTTAGATCACATGGTTAGAAGATAACATGTAAAACTAGGGTTGTTTTCATGACTGTGATAAGATGCTCTGCTCAGGACCCAGCATATATATGTTAGTTTTATAGTTCCCTGCTCCATGGATATAAAGGTCATCCAAAAAACAAATTTAAAGGATGCTTATTCCCAAAGCATCATGGAAAGTTAGGGGGGAGGCTGAAAGACTCCCCGTTTTTTGAAAGAACCCCCGTTTCCCTGTCCAAGGAGAATCACATGAAACACTGGCTGCAAAAACAAGAGGTTTAGGTTTATTGGGACACAGGTGCCTGCGGGTGTCCAGCAGAACCTCAGCGGGAGCTTTGGTGAACTGGCACACCGGGCTTGGGGATACAGAGATTTTTATAGGGTTTGGGACAGGTTTCGCGCGCGCGGGAAGCAACAGGTTTCTTATTGGTTTGTTTAAATCTAGCATATAGGCCACCTAGGGGGTACAGGTCTGCATTCCAAAARCCACAGGTCTGCATTCTATTCTTTCTGTYCCTGCTTATCTGTTCCKGTTTATTCATTCATGCCTCAGGATGTGGGTGCTCTGTCCTTTCTCAACCGGTTATATGGAAAGCACATCCAGCGCCTGAGCCTGTTTATGACAAGCCCGGTATCTTGATTTCATATCTTGGCCTTAGGTAACTGGACTAACTGGGCTAGGGTCTTTCAAGGCAAGTGTCTTTAATTCATTCTCTTCTAGGGCTATGTTATTTGTTTTGTTTTGTTTTTTTACTCTCATTTTGCAAATCAAACTGAAAACATCAAATTGCATATTATAGGCAATTTAATCAAGACTTGTATTCTGGTTTTAACCGTTAGATTTATCTTTACATCCCAAGAGACTTGGGAGCTGATTTTTCCTAAGAAGTTTTGAATTGTTTATAAAACAACAGCAATATGGTTTTAACTCCTGCTTACCTGTGTTCTCTATTTTACTGCTGTGGCTTATAGACTTTTCCATATTGTTTTGGATAATCTTCTCATCCATGCTCAAAATGACCCTAACCTCTGGACAGGTGTTTAGAAAAATACAGTTTCGGACTGAGAGAAAACCCAAATTCTTTTTTAAACAAGCTTTATACTAATGTTTAGTCTGTGCATATGTAGATAGATATATATATATATATATATATATATGATATTTGCAAACTTTTCTGCAATTGCAGGCAATTAGAAAAACAATCCAATAGAAAAATGAAAATTCTCCAGTAGTCCTACCAACATCCTTCAAAATGGCAGCACCTTCCTAAAATGAGTGTGTGCTTCCAGAGAAATGTGTGCTTTTAGTTTTCTAGTTTTGTTCATGCCTTAGCCTCATCCATTTCTTCTTTCATATATATATGTACTGAACATTGAAACCAGTTATAAGAAAGGTTGCCCTATAAAATACACAGTTATATTTGAATTTCCAATAAATGACCAATAATTTTTAGCCTATGTCCCCAGTATCACCCAAGATATATTTTCCTGAATTATCTAAATTTCCAATTCAAGTGGGTATCTTGTACTTGTTTGTTAAGTCTGGTCACTAATATAGCAGAGACCCACACTGTGGGGATTCAGTGGTGAGCAGGAGTGAACTGAGTCCTGACCTGCCTGATAGTGCTATTAACTGGGAGAGATCTATTAATCAAGTGGCATCTGAATATGTAAACTGTGACAAGGGCACAGAGACTACGTACAGTGCACTGTGTGTGTGGTGTTGTGCTTCAGGGAAAGAGTTCAATGTGTGGTATTAAAGGGGGAAGAACACTCAGAATTAAAATTCTATCTTACCAGCCTCCATGGACCTGGCCCTAAGAAGGAACACAGTCCTCAGAAAGAGGCCAGGTTATCAAGTGAAGGCTGCCAGACAGGGCTGGCATCTAAAAAAAGGAAATAAAATCTTCCTGCAAGTTCCTCCCTGAGGGCTGTTCACAGAGCCCTGGCAACCGGAATCCCGAAGACAAACAAGCCATCCCCCAGCACCTGCTCCCTGGGTGGCTTTTGTTAATTGAGAGTAAGCCTGCAGCTGTACAGGGCGCCTGGGGCCTCTCTTGCCCCTTGTCCTGGTGAACAAAAGGGGCCCTGAGTGGTTTCAGTAAATAAGACAAGATCCTCTGTTTTAAGGGGAAAGAACACCTGTACTGGGAGAGCTGTAGGGGCCTGTTCAGATGGCTGAACACAGCCCAGATACAGGTCCCCTGGAAGCAGCCTTTATTGCCTGCACTCAGTGCTGGAGTCACTTCACAGAGTCATTGACGGTGGGCTTCAGGGCCACAGTGTCACTAATGTCACTAATAACTTCCCTATAGATGCTGGGGCCTGTTACTCAGGGTTTTACACACATGGTAGCCTCTGTTCATCCTAACAAACTTAGTTGGTGGGGATACTTGTCCCATTCTATACCTGAAGAAACAAAATCTCAGAGAGGCCAAGGGCTTTTCCCACAGTGACACGGACAGAAACTGACAGAGCCAGTACTCACACCCAAGAATCCCTACTTCAAAGTCCCTGTTCTTCCCCCCATACTAGCCCCTATAGCTGTCCTGTGAAACTTAAGAAGCAGAATTTGTTTGTTGTCTTTCATGTGCCACAAGAATATAAACTCCATGAGGCAGGTGTGTTTGTCTTTTTTTCCTGCCTCATCCTGACTCTTACCCTGCACACAGTAAGGGCTCAAGAAATATCTGTTGAATGAGTGAATGAATAAAGTCAGTGGTAGCACCAGGCCTCTGGTTCCTGATCTGTTGCTCTTCTC